CCATGCGGGAAGTATCCATCAGCGAAACACACGAAAAGGGAGAGTATTTTTCTCGGGCGGGAGAAGGGGGCTCCCACTCGAAAAAAATACTCTCCCTTTTCGTTTTGTAATGGTTTACACTCTGGGCATAGCGATAAGCCAAGCGCTGTTTAACTGACGAATTGTAACAGGCGATGGGCATTTCTATATGGATGGATGCGTGCTTGTGTACATGTGTGTGTGTGTGTGTGTACATGAACGAATATGTACATCACGAAGATGATGCATTCATCCACCTGGAAATTAGGTGTTGCCCTAAATGCTTGTCATGACCCCTACAGCCTAGACTTGTTGAGATAAGTCATCTTTCAGTTCACACTGCTAAGTTATTGTGCACGTGATCTATAGATACCCAGGTGGATTCGGTGGATTTAATCTGTGAATGTAGCTCACTTTTTTTACTTTTCCATGAAAATTTTCTGGCTATATTTGCCCCCTGGCTCCGAATAGCTCATCCTACCAGTTTTCTTCTCAGTTCTGAGACTATCGTTCGCAAATGAAACAATTTTGACAACTATCCTGATCACTGATCCTGCAATTTATCGGTCTCTTAAGACAAGCCTCTGGTTCTCTCTGCCAGTCGTTGTCCGGTCCAGTGTACTCGTAGGGAATCGTTCACTCAGCCTGTCGATCGATCTTTGTGACTCTACGGTATCATTCAATTTGCATCATATTGCACTGTGTCCGAGGACGAAACACCCTCATTTGATCTGTTCCGTAGTGTGTGTTTCTTCTCTCACCAATTTTGAACGATCATTATGTAGAATACATTTGTTTCGCGCTCCTTAAAAAAATCTCTGTCCCAGTTCAAAAGCGAACTGTTTACAATTCACTCCCCGTTCACTGACACTCCTGATCCAGATGGTTTCGTCCAAAGCTACAAAGATACAACTCAGTACATGCCTGTGTCCACCACGGACGGAGCGAATCAGCCGGTTTCCGGTATGAACAATCCGTCGAACGGTGCCGGAGGTATGATGATGATGAGCAACTTACAGTGCAGCGCGTTCTCCGATCACTCCGCTTCCAACCATGGTGGTGGTGGTGGCATGCAAGGTATGAACGGCACCCTGCAACATCAACAACAACAACAACAACAGGCCGAATTGAAGCAACAGCAGCATCAGCAACAACAACAACTGTACATGCAACAACAACAACAACAACAGGCGGATCAGTATGCCGCAGCTATGGCCATGTCCAAGGAGTTGATGCAACAACAACAACAACAACAAGCACAGCACCAATCTATGCTCGGCTCTCAAATGCACTTACATCAGTCCAATCAGCCAACTCCGATTGTCTATCATCATCCACAGCATCATCAATCGCATCATTCCCTACTATTTCCCTCCTCCGGTCCAATGCACCAAGTTCAGGCGGCACCAATGTATCAGAGTGGAACGCTGCCTGGCGGTCCGCGCTACATGCGACAGGGTTTCACCCCGGCACATCATCAATTCGGAAGTCAACAACCGTTGAACCGAGCTACCACACCAGCCCAAGGTATGCTGGACGTCATGGACTATCATATGCAACCTGGGGGAGTGTATGCGCATCAACAACCGCAACTACCCCCGGTTCCGGTACGTAGTCGTAGTAGTAGATTGATTCATCATTGACTGATTATTTTTTTTGCTTCGTCCAAAGGAGGTAAACTTTGATTTGTGATTTTGTTTTCATCTCCTGAGAAACTCGTTGGATGATCACATTGTGCCACGATTTTGCGGGGGATATATAGTCAATGATGCGTGATCAGTCATATTTCACCGATCCCAAAGCGTGCTAGCTACAGTTTGCGAACAGAACGTGTTTGAACGAGACTGTGAAAATGCAGATCAGACATGTATAGGAGCCTAAAAAAGCCTAATCCGTTTGTTGCAATTTTTCCAACGCCCCACACATGCAATGGTGTTCGAGGGGTGGGGTGGGCGAGTATCTGATCTAATCAGCCCAATAATACTACTCGCAACATCGTTTGTGACAATCTTGACCAATGGTCTGTCAGGCTGTGTATAAACTTAACCTAATCTGATCAAACAGTGAAACTGAATTGTTTATTCACACTCTCACTTAGCAATCATACTTTGGTTATCCCACGTTCAGCATCATCTTTTCTCGATTGGGAATTTTGAATATTTTTTTATTGCAATACATTGATAAAGTACCGGTTAGTATGGGACCAATAAATTGTGAAATTCGCTCTAATTATGCGGTCAGAAAGTGTGATCTCTCGATCTCTTCCGAAACAACAGACCCGGAACAACGCTCACCCAGAGCGATCACGTTAGTTCTCTGTCAACCCGCCTGTATTTTGTTCACACTGTTGTCTGTGGGACTGTATCGCATCAAGGGCTCACATGCTCTCTCTCTCTGTGAACTGCGCGACATGCAAGCAGCTGTTTCAGCGATTCGTTCCCAGTTCACTTGTTGATCATGATGATTGTTTGTTGATCCACTTGGCACGTCTTCTAATCAATGCATCTACTCAAACTCTTTTTATTGCTGTGTCGGACCGCAATCTCTCTCTCTCTGTCAGTCCCTTGATTTCGTGAGCTGGAAGTCAGGCTATATGTTTGAAGGGTCCATCTCATTCTGCCTACTTAATTTTTCTACTTCAGCATCCACAAAACACAGATCTGCCACCGCATCATCTCATGATGAATGGGGCTCAGCGACAAATGGGCTATTATCCGGGTCCAATGACTCCAAGTGGGACCTCATTGAAACGTGAACCACCGACCGGGGGTTCGTTGCAAGATGGCTCGGCTTACGGTGAGTGCATGACTGTTTCGCTTACCTTCTAAATGCATGCCATCCTCGATCCGTAAAATCTCTAACCAATTCAGATCGAACCTTATGCTAATAGGTAGTCTCACTCTTATTCGACTCAGCACCACACCTATCCAGTTGAAGTCATATGTTGTATTTATCTCGTCTAAATAAAAGGTATATCAGTCTATAGTGCTCACTAATCTGTTCTGTCAACAAGTTGTCATGAACTAGTATGCAACGTTTGCGTCTGTCAAGATGGCCAGAGCAGTTCTCGATAACTCTCATCAGTGCATAAGGTTCCAGATTGAACCCTCCTTCCCCACAATCAACCTACAAATTCATTGTCATCCGGATGAATATCGATTCTCGTTCATCTGTGATTATTCACTCCCAGTTCCAAGGACTTCGTCCGCATTTCTCGGTAGTATATATATATACTTCCCGGGTACAAGTATATGAATGAGCTGACAAAAGATTACCGGATACGCATGCCTGACGAACGGCAAGAACCGCGAAACCGGTCGTGTGCTTCCAGGGAAATTTTGTCCTGTCATTCACATACTACNTATCAAATCTATATTTATATAGCACGGGCTTGAGAATAAGCATGGTGCCAACGCGACAACAATATTAACAATAACAATAACGCGGATGTGGGGGGGGGTTGGGATAGAGAGTATACGGAAAGAGACGTAACTGTCAGAATGGAAGATTACGAATAAATGGAATAACAATTTGTGTGTTTTTCACCGTACACACAGAAGTAATCGCTCTACACCGCCTCTGATGGCTTGGTCACGTATTGCGTATGCCTGCCCATCTCGACTACCTTTCCGTGCTCTCTTTGTACATGCCGGGCAAGTTTGGAAGAAGCGCCACGGCGGTCAGACCATGACATGGTGTAGAGGTATGAAGAAGCTGGCTTCAGCTTTGGCTTCGGTTGGTGCAGCTCGCCTTCCAGGTTGGGTGTCCAAGGCACAACTTATAATGCGTCAACGAAGGTATTCAGGAATGTGTCTGAATGAATACAGCTCTGATTACGTAATGGTTTCCGCTCTCCTCATAAACACTTCTCCGTCGTCTCTGTACACATCTTTATAATATCATTCAAAACCAATCTGCGAATTGTTTCATATCATGGCTTGTTCATTTAATTAGGTAATCTGCTATGTTAATCTAGATTCATTTTCGTTCTTCCTGTAGATTTTCCTCATTTTCGAAGACATTCTCAGACAATCTTGATATCATTCTCTTTTTTGTACCTATTTGACTCGGTGATTTATCGTTCGGGTCGCGATAATGTTTATTTGAATCTCAATTTTTTGTTTGCACCTGTCGCCAAATTTGGACGATCTGAAAGCAACACGCCGTGAACTTCACTCTCACTCTCTCTATCCAGCTTTCTTTTGCGATCTAACTGTTGTTGGTCCCTAAGTCGCATGGATT